GGATCTTCGCTGCGTATTCACTGTTTCAACCAACACGGCGAGCTACCAGAAAAGGGGGTGGCGGCATGCCGCCATCGGCGACGAGCCGAAGATTTCCCGACCGCGTTCGGCGCGGAAGCAGAACCAAATGGGAACTCTATGTATTCAGGTGTCAGGGCGGGTGTCACGCCGGTTGCAGATCTGACGAGACGTATGGCTCACTATTCGACGAAGACTGCAATTGGTTCTAGCTAAGAAATCAGGGGAGGAGGGTCTCCGAACGCCAATATTCCATTCGCTGAAATCAGTAGTCCGCTGTAGGTCACCTCGATTCTACTATAACCTTCGTGAAAAGCATGAAACAGTTCCATAGCGCCGCTTTGTCACGCACATGCGAGCACCTGCACGCCTTGTCTGAAGCGTCTTCCATCATATTGACAGGTGATGGCGATCCAACATCTCAACAGAAGGGTGCGATCAGCTATGGCCCTGCCATGCTCTGTTATCTTCTCTTTGCCACGGCACGACTCAACAAGCCATGACCATGTGGATGGCGTTGGAAAGGAACAAGCCAATGCTGGGAGGGGGGGCGTGGCTGCTCTGGTTGTAGAGGTGAGACAAACAAGGTTTAAGCGCTGCAGCCGAACTCAGGAAGTCGTGATCGCGTGGGTTAGATCCTGAGTACTCGCATGAGCGTGTGTTGGTGTTGGTGGTGTTGTCTACCCAGTTGCATCGGGGATAGCTCGTCTTCTTCCGTATTTTCTCTACAAGTACCAGAGCCGCATACGGACGGTTGTTCCAACAGCTTGACGTGTTCTATGCTGATCCCGCCCTCATCCCCTCCGCCCCCTTAAATTCTTCGTTCTAGTTTAAGGGCGGTAGAACATATCGTAAATGCCATGAATAGCCTTCCAGCACGTGCGTTCCTCACACTGGACTCCTGCCGCGGAAATACTGAACACACTACTGTAGCAATGTCCAACAACTGAAGCATACAAGCCCAGCCCGTAAGATCGTCTTGCTGAACCGTTTCTGTCATCTAGCCTCAGAAACAAGGAAGCGTGGTGGTCCTGGCCAGTCTACTGGGCGAAGACGGAGAAGGAGCTTCTGGGAAAGGGATAAATTCCACTGGCGATCGAGAAAGAGGTTTGCTCACTGACAACAAGATAATACTGGCGTCCACGTGGCTGCCTATTGGTGAAAGAGTGATGCAGAGGGGGCACCTCCAGGACGGGTGAGAGGCATGTCAGAAATGTTTGGGCTTACAATTGCGGCCCGCGATTAAGAAACGTCAATTTCGGGTCGAGGCTCAAAGTCTTTGTGAAGCAAGCACCATCACAAGTACCAATTTTTCTAAAACAAAGTTTCATATATTTCTGGCTGTCGAACACTCATGATTTTTCTGAAATTACAATTTTCTTATTTATTTGGCTTTATCGTCTAACTTAATACGTATGTCACTTGGTTGCCGATTCTTATGTTCTCCATGCTTTCGACAACCTTTTCCTCTGTCCACGAAGGTCTCCCAACCGATAGGTGTGAAACACAGAAACTCAATGGAAGAACCGCAGGTGCACTCTGAATACGTCGCACCCCCAAGTCGGCACAAAATACAAGTCGGCACAAAATGGCCGGGGGCGGGTGTAGGCAGCAGGAGTGCGCGTGTGTTTTCTCATGGTGCACGATTATTTCCGTCCCCTAGTTTCTTATCGCTCGTGCCTCTGTGGGCGTGTGTTTGCTTATTCGGGTGTTGCTCATCTTTTCGTCCGTTTTGAAGTGCGTTTCTTAGCCACATTTCTAAATTTACGTGATAAGTTCAGAGTTGTTAATATATGCGGGCCGCAACTGCAGTCGCGAAGAAGCGGCGATTTACATAATTTTCTTAGTCATGACAAGCACCACCACGAAAAGAGCTTGTGTGAGAAACCGTGCAGTAGTCGTAGTAACGACACCACTGTGAAATCCTTCCGCACAGCGTGAGTGAGACGATACAATAGCCGACCAACTAGTCTGATGATTTTTGTACAAAGAAATAGACAGGGTACTCGTGCTTGATTGCGAACCACGTACAACCAGGTGGTACCCTCTTCGCTTTTCTGGGAACGGCTGGCGCAGCACATCGAAGGCGTGTGATATACACCTCAGGATTCACGTCATGGCTAGACTCCAGCACCCAACCGTAGGGATATCCGCACAAGGACCATCATCGGGACGGACGACAGTCAGAAACGATGCACCTGGAGCGAAGGGTATCACCGTCGTTCTCGAGGAAGGGCGCTGCCTCACACATCCAGATTGCCCAGTGGGGCCACTTGAGCTATTTGCTGAAATAGTATTGCATGTGGAAAACTCTGCTGGTGTTGGGGAGCCTGCGTGGAACGACGTCCATGGCAGGGCAGTACGGTCACAGATGTGAGTGCCCATCTTGTGATGTCGCCATGGTGCCTGTTCGGGAGCATAATCATGACGTAGTGGTCGTATATTGGCCAAGTCAATGGCAACCACCTTTTCTTCGAAGAGGAACACCGCGCTGCCTTCTTTTTGAGCCCCGACTCTCGCTACTTTACGGAACACCCGATCTGACGTTGTCCACTGTAGACGTAACCACCAAAGAACACAATGGTGGCGGACAATGTTTTTGCATTCAGTGAACGACCGTATACGTAGCCGTTTTTTCAATCTCTTGGTGCACGCACCTCAAATATTGTACTATTTGTATTGGACTTGTCGTTTAGCAACGTCCGTGAAGATTTCGGAGTACAGATTGTTCCTCGCTCATGAACGGTTGGATTGGTAACTTGCGGCGAGAAAAACGTTGACCGGCCTCAACACTGTGCCTCCTGCCATTTCGACAACCAGGATGGTCAGTCACCTACCCCTCAGAGAAGAACTTTCTTCGCGCAAGGGACTCTCTTCGTATGCAGCGGCGGCTAGACTAGGAAAGGGAGCATCGCCTTGCTGGCAACACGCCTTACACATCCCTCTTCCGCAGGCGCTAGCTGAGACCGACAGCGCCTGCCATTTGGACAAAGCTCCTGATAGCTCTGTGCTAGGCCTCGAGGGGAGGAGAAGGGGCAGTGATGGCCACTCTCCGAAAAGAGCTCTGGTACGTCATACTACCAGATCAGCACATTATTTGAAGGTCATTCGTTCATTGAAATACGCCTTTCAAGAAGTCGCTCTGCAACGTCGACCGCACCCTTTTGGAAGTCCAGTCGTCATCTACTGCCCTCTCTAACACGAACTCCTATGTGGTTATAGTTGCAAGTGTTGTGAAAGTGTAAGGGGCTAGAGGAAGCATAGTTTCCAGGGCAGACCTTGCTACCGTCCGTGAAGAAAGACTGGAGACGGGGGCTCTTCACACATTTTCACTGTTGATGTCACGATGACTGCCACCACATTCTATCTCATGGTGGTCAATAGTAGCTCGACTCGAACGCTTCATCCCTAGACATGGAGAACTTAAAGGGTTGGTGCGCATTTGCACATATTTCTGATAATTGTTGCAGTTGTCAATCACCATCAAGAGCGCAGCACGACGAGTGGTAACGCGCCAGCCATCGCCAGCGCCCCGACGCTTGCTCACTAGTGCAAGCAAGCACGGGCTTTCTAGCGAGACCATCACCGAGCGGTGCCTTGTCCTGGGGATGGCCAGGTGAATAAACGGGTTGATAAACCTCGAAAGATATTGTGAAGACAGCGACGAGGGTCTAATAGATGCACATGCCGACTTGCCCATCGGAAACGTTTGCTCAAGCAAGGCCAAGGTCAAACTATCAGGCTATTACGACCGGCAAGCATGGCTGGGTATCAACGCTTGGGTATACAGCCTTGGTCGCCGGTTTGTTCTATTTTTCTCGGGGTTGCAGGCTAAGGTGATAATGGTCGTGCGTTGATAAAGTCGGTTCGTTTTCGAGAGAAAGACGAACATCCGACACCACGTCCGAGTGCCATCGTCAGTACGTCCGAAACTGGCGTTTTTATCGCATGAGAAACTGGCAAAGGACATTGTGTACGACATGATCGGCTGATGACGCGTTCCGTGCATTTGTCCGTGTTTACGTTTGACCGCATATGAATGCCTGGTGTCACTTTATGGCGGCAGAATAAGGCTCCCATCGTGCTTGCTGTCACAGAGCAGTGATGCACCGACCCGTGGCTGGTACAATGTCAACGACGAAGTCACAGGAGCACACAGAGGAAAGGTTCGAAATGATTCCCGGCTCACCGAAATAGAGGGTCGTGCGACCGGGGTGAAAAGGATGCGTTCACGGCGACCAAGCAAGGAACAGGATCTGAGGCATGCCGTGGCATTCTCGGCGCTTTCCAAGGCCAACCGACGTCTCTCATGTGCTTCTAGCTATGCCCCAAGAGAGTGAACATGCGACAAGGAATACCGAAGTCTGTAAAATGCAAAACATTTCTAGTCGGTCTCTGGGTGCGATTCACATCGCACGAAACCCGCCGCCCAATGCCTTACACAGTAGCCAAACTGGTTCAAATGCCTCGCACTCGAATAGGTCAGGATCTCTGTTTTCCCGGCCTGCAGCAGCTTCTACTCGCAGCACAGGAAAGCCGACCCCAACATCGACCCCTGCGGTAGCAGTCGAAGCGAAGGTCGTGGTGGTGGCAACTCAAACCTCGAGGATCACTACCGAGCATGTCCTTCCACATCTCTGAGTGAGTTTCCCCGGCTAGGATCCAAACGCCAGCAATCTGATACCGGCACTGGCGGTACCATGAATGACTTCACCGAGCAATCAGAAGATATGGGTAAGGAGATCGAGGTGCTTACGAAGGCGGGGGGGGGCGACGAAACGAATGGCCTCCGAGGGTTGGGCCTCCTGTTCGTCAGGTGCGATCTGTGTGAATTGTTGATAACTCCTAGAGCCGGAGTCCCATGCCGGGTGTGCCCGTGTTTGTGTCCAGTGATTAGAAAGTCTCGTTGATGGCTTGTATTAGATCCACAAGACCAACGCACGATAGACAGGGGAGAAAGAGAGTGCCCCACGCAGGCTGATGCAGCATGGGGGCACCGCTGACTCATCGAAAGTCTACTACAAAAGGTACCACCGTATGTCCCTTCATCTACGGAACACAGAACCGTCCTCAGATCCTTCCCACAAATGCACACACACGAACACCCCCCCTGGTCCCTTACATTAGTAATTAACCATCTCCGTGTGTTGCTCAACGTGCTCGGGTATCACCGAAAATCACACAGAAAAAAGCGTTGCAAGGGAAAACCCGGCCACCGAGCCAAAAACCCTCGCAATGATTCTACGACCACCAAATAAAACATCCTCGTTGTCATCTCAACAACTCCAATTCGCTAGAAACGAAGACCAAATGAAGTGCTAACGTTGGCGTCTTACCTACAACAATTCCCCGATATCGTGCCATACCAAGCGGACCAAATTGCATCGATGGTTCGGATGATCATCTCAACATTTTCAGGGGAAGACAAAAATATAATACCAACGCTGGCTAAAATACAGCATCAGGCATGAAGAAACACAACCATTCAACTTATTGTCAGGAGGCCCGACAGTTTGGATTGCGAGCGTTGGAACGACCTCTCACGCGACAAACAGAACATCAGATCAACAACTAAAAACGTCACTGCGCATGAAATTCCACAGTGCTCCCCCGTGACATCTAGCCTTTGAGTTCCGCTATTGCGAATGTCCTACGTGACCAATTCAAACAGCAAGGGAAAACATCATCATTGGCTGAATCATCGTAAGCGAAACTACAGACGCTCTACGAACACCAAATCAGAAATTGAAACGCCTGAACTGCGAATTTCCTTCATAAACTTTCGGTATCATTCGTCACAGGCAAGGTCACTCAAGAAATCGCTTACGAATCAACCAGAAATGAAGTGTCCGCGGCAACGCCGCGCTGTTGTTAGCACAGCAGTAGTGCGCGGTATTGCTCTTCTGCGACAAGTCGACATTCACCAGAATCGCCATGAATGCAATACTCCAGCTCTCTCGGACCGATTATTTTTCCCGCGATCAACAGGCTCGTGTGTTGTGCCGCCCGCTACTCCACCGCTGACGCCGCCGCTGTCCCGAGCGCCAGGGCCCACAGTCTCGGGTAGTTCCCCTGAGGCGGAACCCCTCCCGGTTCCCCCTGGGATTCCAACCGCACCCCCCACGGTGCCCCCATCCATCGCGGCGCCGTGTGACACTTCTCCTCCTCCGTCTCGCGCGGACTGCTGGAACAATAGTCCCTCGGAGCGACCCAGGAGCTGCTCCATCCTGCCCTCAGCCTTTGCCTGCTGTTCTTCAAAGCGGACCGTCAGCGTGCGCTCGACTTCGTCGAGTTTCGCAGCGAGCTCTTCCTCCGAGACTCCTCCCGATATCGTTGCTGGCAAGGGCTTTGCGTTCGTTTCCTTGCAAGGACGATGGAGAAAACTAACTCAAGAGTGTTGATAACTCCTAGAGCCGGAGTCTTACGCCGGGTATGCCCGTGTTTGTGTCCAGTGATTAGAAAGTCTCGTTGATGGCTTGTATAGATCCGCAGGACTAACGCACGATAGACAGGGGAGAAAGAGAGTGCCCCACGCAGGCTGACGCAGCATAGGAGCACCGCTGACTCATCGAAAGTCTACCACAAAAGGTACCAACGTATGTCCCTTCATCTACGGAACACAGAACCGTCCTCAGATCCTTCCCACAAATGCACACACACGAACATGAATTCACCTTTTCTTCTATTCTCCTCGCACAGAAGGTGCCCTCACTTACACGACCTATTGTTGTCCCTGCTCTGAGGTTCATTTCTGCTTTTGTCTGCGTGTTACGCCTGCAGCAGTTTTTTGTAGGGCCCTTCATATCTGCGAATCGTCTAGTTGTCAAATTCTTGAGGCTACTTTCCTCGTTGCGAGTGTCTATCCCCGGTGGCGCGCTGTGCATGTGGTATCCTTCCATTTGTTCCATTTGGCGCAGTCTACACTGACCCTCACAACTCCTGAATGTGAAAATGCCCTTACTCGCGGTATCATACGACGTTTAGGGCATCCCTTCGGGACATATCGTCGTGTAGTCGTTACCTATGCCGACCGGCAAGAGGATTTGTGTGCTAAGGAAATGTATTATCTTCAGGCACCATGCCTACCCAGACGAACCCTTCGCGTTTCGCCTAGAGACTCCGCTTCGAAGGGTGCGTGGTCATGAACGCTGTGTGAAAATAGTTAACAAGAGATTGCCCAACCCCACCCCCATCCCGCGCGTTTCCTCTGATTTCGATTATCCACGTCAGTATTGGCGACCTTGCCATACACTCGTTTGGAAAGGAAGTACAACAGCCGCGAGACGCAGCAGGCCACAGCCCCGCGATGCTTCAAGTGGTCGTCGCACTTCGGCGAAGCCAACATCACGATGGAGTAGCTGCGAATGCAGGCACCCCCTCTAACGGAGGCTACATGGGTTCTTCACAAGCGTCCTTGTCCGTTGGGGCTGATGGCGACTTCGGCGGCGTGCTTGCAATTGATATACTAAAGTGTGATGACGAGATTCCAGCCCTCGATGTGCGGGTGAGTCGATACGGTTTTCACCTCAAAACTGCCTGCTGGCTTGATCATCAGGGTGGAACACGAACGAGATACTCTCTCGGCTTTGTCACGAAGTTGGTTCGACTAATTTGCTTCTGGGCACACGTTGCTACAGGGCTATGTACCTCATAAGACTTAAGAAGTGGTCGGGACACGATTCATTCTACTCTCGCTGAGTGAAGCGTCGTGGAAAGGCAATTCTGCCAAGTAGGCTTCACCTCCTGTCTTGCAGCGTTTGAGCGGTTTGCTTCGGCCACCTACCCATGACTCTTCCTCGATTAAACAGGTCCACGTCGACACGCCCCATGGGATAGGACGTACTGTCTACCACGGGCACGTTTCACTCGCACCGTGCCTTTCGAACTCTGGGAGGGCAGTTCAAGAGAAGAAAAGTCTTGTAAGAATGAGCAAGAATAGACACGCTCATGGGGAAACGCCAACAAGTGTTCAAAGCAACAGTAACTCGAAGAAGATGAGGATGACCGAACCCCCCTCTTTCGTCGGTAGACATGACGACAGCCGTAGCTCGACCGAAGCGCCGTTGGCTTCCTCGGAAAGCGGTGACGACAGCAGTGATGCCGATACAGGAATCTGGTCTCCGGAAGGGTGCTGCACCGCGAATGTGACGACGACGTTTGTCCCCCACAAGGTGATGACTGCGATACTTCGAGAGAACGGACACTTTTCAGTAGTGGTTGTCGGACTTCCGTTGTTGTCTCATTTATTGACCATCGCTTGTTCCCTATACGGCGTTGCCGCGATTTCAGAGCTTCAACCTGGTGTCACACCCTCTGGGGTGCAATCAATTATCGTCGAATGAAGGACAATAGGCCTACTCACGAACGAGCGTTCGACCGCCAAATTTGGGACGAACGCGCTACAGCTTCGAGGTCACCAATTACGTAGGCAGACCACAAGAGGTGACCGGCGGAAGAAAACACCAAAGAATTACTAAAGTCAGGGCATACGGCGGTGTAGACAGGTGGGGTTTCGAGTGATTTCCTGCGTGTGCACAGAAACCGCCAGATTTGGGACGTCTGCACGGACGGTTGTATGTGGACAGCAACGAGGAAGCACCCCACTCTATCAGTTCCTTGTCATGTTCAGGAAAATAAGCCCCCGCACAACCGCTCTACCTTGGGCAATAAAAAACCTATCCAGAGAGGAGTGCTTCAGCTTGTCGCGTCGGAGGTACACTTCACTCCGCCTAGCCCCAGCACCTTGAAACGCTGGCGGAGCGTCACCGAGCTACACCAAAGGACAGAGTTTGAAACCCATGTCGGGGTGAAAAATCCTACTGGGCATCCTATGGCAGCGAGCGCCAGAGCCGCGAAAACATGCGCGTTTCTTCGTGTAAGGGTCCTTCCTTCCGGGTCCTGGGGCTTTTGCCGGACATTCCCGCTCAAACTGCCTCAACTAGCAGACTGGGGCCGGGACCCCTCACACGCAGGTGAGCCTAGCAATCGTTGGAGGAACAGATTTCTTCGTCAGCAATAAACATACTATCCGCCACATCATTGCTGCTCTTTCGTATTATCAACATTTCTGAGGACGAAATGAATTGCTTCGGCTGGTGAACCCGAGCTCAGTACTGAGCAACAGGTACGATGTGCCATGAAAATATTGCCTCAAACGCTTCCCATCTATCCACATGTCTGTTGCTGTCGACAACCACAGGAACAACCCATCTTCCAGAGGACACTGGTGTTACTCTAGAAGTGGACACCTCGCTCCATGCAATTGCCAGGAAAAGGGATTCATTGTCATCCTCTTCGTCGCCAACGCCGACCGCCGCCGGTGGTCGTACTTCTTCCCAAGACTGGGCCATAGTGGTCGAAGTGGAGCCGCTGACGCTAGAGGTTTGTCTATGTGACAATGACCGAGTGTCGTCATGCTCCTCATTGGAGTCCCCTCCCTCCTCATTTCCCTCTTGCCTGCTCGGTTTGGGCACCATGGTGCTGACACCGCTCATCACAGCTGGTGGAGGCGACTCGTGCAACTCGTGCGAAGGGCAAGAAGCAGCGCGTCAAGCAAGAGACACCAAGGGCTACAGAGCGGGCAAACAAATGGACTCCATCAATGCCAAGCATCGAAGGGGGGCAGGCCTCAGAGAAATTGCGCTTTTCGAGCCGGTCTCGGGCGAAAGGATTGCCTCACTGACCGTGGACGTGCGGTTTTCGTCGCACGCACCCAGAGTTGCTGATGCGCCACCGTACCAAGCAAATTCCCGTTTCAAGCGACCATACATGGTGAGAGGAAAGAGGAAGTAGGGAAAACGGGTGTGTCGTCGGCGTCGACACGGTGTACTGCCGAACCAACCAATACCGTTTCTGTCTCGCGCAAACGCTGGGCCCGGCGAACATTCCTGTGGTGCCTTCACCGTTTGTGATGAAGGGGCCGCCGTGTGAAAGAAATACTAGTCTCAGCTGCCATTCGCTAAGAATGACAATGAGGTATTTGTTGCTCCTTGCGTACCTTTGAAGCTGTTGAAGCGCATTCAAGCTCGTTGGACTTGACCCTTGGCTCATTTGGAGGCATGTCTGAATGCACTATATATCCCATGCTCGTTGGCCTCCCGGATGTTCTTCCAACTGATGATGGCACCTTAGAGTAGGTAAATTTCAGTATGGTAATTCTCAAGGAGCGTAGAAGAAAACTGATATTGAATTGAAAGCAACCCAAAACTGCCTGGAAGGCGAAACCCAACCTACAGATGGAATCATGACCAGGAATCAACCGTTCTCATACTTCAAAGAGCGCCCAAGAAGGGTGTTATTGAAGCATTTTATAAACGTCAAGGTTCGGACTCTCACCATCTATTACCTCTTTTCTCTTGCTGTGGCCTCCCGTCCAAACGATGTTCGAAAAACTCCCGTCCAAGATCCCCGACCTATTTGCAGTGGTCTGGGCACTGAAGTCCATCTTTTATGGCCTGGATCCCAATAATACTGGATTGGTGCAACTGAAAGATATCCTGGAGGAAATTCAAGCTAGATGGCCCGATGAACCACCCGCATTGGGGCCATCTTCAGCCCAGCCCGTTGCTGGCATCAAATACAATGCGGAAGCCGTGCACAAAGGCGGCGTTCGGAAGCTGCTGGAGCGTCTGGTCGGTAGTGGCGCTGGGGTTGGGGGGAGCAATGGTGACGGAAACCGTCTAGGCAGCGACGGCGCTTGCGTCAACGGCGACAATGACCGTGACGGTCTCGTAGATTACATCCGCCACCTCCTCATTCCACGGGTGAGCACAGTCGGTAGTCAAGGGTAGCTATTCCAGACAAGAATGCATTCCCCCCTTCTCACAGGAATTGCACGATATTTTGAGAATGGGAAGCAAAGCTGGTACAGTCGTGGACACATATCCTATGTAGTTCGGGAGGGAACGACCCAACAATATTACTACAAAGCCGGCTTCGCCCAGCATTGCACATCAAGAGCCAACTAAATACCATCCAACGGTGATCCTTACCTGACGCCTAATGCGTAGGAATCCCTCGGTTTTCCCCTTCTCATCATATACGCGCAGTGCTCAGCTGGTGACGACGGGTTTGTGTCGTGGGAAGTGTGGGCCGCACTCTCTGAAACGATCGCCTCCAGCATGAACCATGTAGTTCTACGGGGAGGTCAGCCGATGTCCTCAGCGGTGACCTCGGCCTTAGTCCGGCAGCGTGCAGAGGAGCTTCGATATAATCATACCGAAGTGGTAGGTCCTTCCTGCGGGGGAGTTGTCCACGGAAGGCCCCCGGGCAAAGAACCAAATGTCTACATAGACAATGGGACCATCCATGGCGGTGGAATGACAACGTCAACGACGCGAGGCCGCCAAACAGAAGGATACCACCCCGGTAGTGGCGGTGGTGCCGGCTACTCTAGCACGGGAGGTTTACGGGAAATATCGGCCACAGCCTTATGCGATTGTTACGGGCATGGTGCCGAAGGACACGGGGATCTTTCATACTCGGCGATCGAATACAACTCCCCGAATGAAGTTGATCTTTCCGTTGGCTCGAGTAAGAGAGAAGGCGGAGACCCATGTCGTCAGGCGGCGACCAGGTTGAGTACTGTTCGGGCGCACAAGAACTCAGGGCCGCGTGCGGACAATGCCAGTAGGAGGAGGAGTCTGCGTCAGATGCTAGCGACATCGCGACGATCATGGCAGCTGCAGCAGCAACGTTTGCCACGCACTGCGCCGATGAAAATCGACAACAGGAGTTTCATGCGTTCGTCTTCGTCACCCTCACGCCACAAGGTTGTGGCCACCTCGACCGGATCGAGGCCCATCAACGGAGCAAAGACCCCTATTCATCAGGAGGTGCCGGGGCAAAATGTGGCTGTCAAGCCATTCGCAGGCCGACAACCAGTAAGTGCGCCCGCTACGATAGCAGCAGCCCACTCAGCTGGGAAGGAAAGGGAGCTGGCGACTGCACCCACTCACACCGGTGCTGGGTCTGCCCACCAAGAATTGCACCATACAGTCCCGAGTGCAGATACAGCGTGCCACGAGTGTGTTAGGTCGCCGGTGCATGAGTGTAACAGGATGTTTCCTGCACAAAATTATGCTGGGAGTTGGGAAGCGAAGGCAATGATGGACGGGGGGGTGCGGACGGTGGAAGAAAGAAGTGAGGAGATTGTACATGAGGCGGCGAGACCTGAAGCGACATGCGCGCCTCACTTGCTGGATGATGTGGAAACGACTTGGATTCGGACAGAGACAGCGTCAGCAAAACGCAAGGCGTCAAAGTACCAAACGTGCATGCTCGAGGCACAGGTACGAACCATCAGCAATGTAGGGTTGTTAAAACAACATGGTTGTTACATGGTACTCTATGGTGTTAGGTGAGAAGCAACAAGCAACACAGGCCGTCGTTTAACACAACGCACTCCTGATTTGGCACAAAGCGAAGCCCTCACACGCACCAAACGGAGAATGCACTGACTAGGTAGCTCACCGATGGGTGACTCCACTCAACCCTGTGTTTGTGGTCGCACACAACGGCCTTGGTCATGTCGGAAAGATTGCCACGAGTAACAACGAATGCACCCGTTACGGCGGCCGTTACGTTGTTTTTCCGTGGTCTTGCAATCTTCATTTCCCGTGGCCCATACATTCAACTCCGCCTAAGGTATTGCCGAAGACATACTTTGCACGAGCCCCACCTGCGCTTCTTGCAGCATTGTTTTTCTGTAGCGAAAGTGGTCAAGGGACTTGTTCTTTCGAATTTTCGACCGTGGCACGGTGCGGACGTAGTGCGAATGAACCTGAAACAAATCAGCGGACGACATCCCGGCAAAACCCTAATTCCCGGTGCCCCTGAACCAATGAATCTACGATGCAAAAGTGTGCCCTGGGCAAGGAGCAGCGACGAATACTGAGACTCGAAAACCGAGCGTTAGAAGTCGAGGAGCAACTACTGCAACGAGATAGAACTAGGATCCGGCAGGCAGCAAGAGCAAGGTGAGAACCGAATTTCAACGAGCACAGAGGTTGATGACACCGGCCGGATGTGCGTGTGAGAATCATTGCTTTTCGCGCAAGGTGTAACCGACTTCGATGAAAAATTCACACGATCGCGTCTGGAACTTGAATTTGAATGGTTGATTCCAGGAAGGTAACTTCACCGGAGGTGAGTGTGAAGTTTCACTCGTGCCATCACACCATCGCGTTTCGCCGATTTCCAGGACGCGACTGCTCGAGCTAGAGATGGACAACGCGAGGACATACAAGAGGATAGCATCGAAGAGAAAGAAACAAAGGATTGAAGCAGTCGCCGCAATAAAACTTCAATGTACAGCGAAGGGGTTCCTTCAGCGCCGGTACTTTGAGGTATGCCCAGGGTGGTGGCCCAACCGATGCGTTCTGGGTCGTGACGCTTACAACATGTGAATCTGTCAGAGAACGTGATTTCAAGGCCCGCCCCAATCGAATAGCATTGTCGTGCACATCTCGCCAAGGTGTTCTGCCTACACCACGGTCATCAAACATGCATCTTGTTCCCTTGCGCCGGGCAGGTACTAGTTCTCCGAAAGAACCTCAATGTCCCAAGAGTACGTTTCCCTGTGGAGTTGAAATTTCGGCAATTTTCACTCCTCGTAGCTCCCACATGGCGTGCTGTGTACTTGCGAACAAGGGACTATGCGTATGTATTTAGGTGGGATCGTAAACCCCTGAAACGTTTTCCGAAACAGCTCTAGTTCTAACTGGTTAGAGTATTGCTGACAGAATACTCTGCTAGAAAAGTGCAAAGAAATGTTGAAGGTGGCGGTTGCAGCATGTTGCATTTTCGGCACTGCCGTGGAACATCCAGCGAATCTGACATTACGGGATGTGCGTATGTCGCGGCGGAAATGAATTTTGCGAGGTGGGGCTGCTGATGATTCACCCCATCCTGACTTTTTCGATGCTTCAACTCGCGGCGATTACCACCAACGACTCCAGGCGGAGATGATAAATGTCCGGGCACTCCAACAAAGCGCTCGCAGTATGCTCCAAGCCAGGCGAAGACATCACTACCGTGCCAACCTCTTGCTGATAGCGTTGATGTTGCAGAAGATGTGGAGGGGTAGGTAAGAAATGCAGCTCCGGATCTGAAGCTCAACGTAGATCCTACTTCTGACCCCTTGGGCCAGCGGATGCACACTCCGCGTCTGATTCCGTCTTGTTGATAGCAGCACTGTAGGTTAGTATACATCCGTCCGTGTCAAAACGTGCCAGATGGCAGAGTGAATTATGCACCTCAATCTTCAGCAGCGCGTGGATACTCTCATGCCGCACGTGTTTGGCGCCCCTGTATTGTCTGTGTTTCCCTTTGACCTTCACACGCACCTACGGAGGTCTTCGGATCAGGTTTTCTCTGTTGTATATCAATGCCGACCTCGTCCATCTCATTCGAATGAAGTGAACGCCGACAAGCAACTGTTGTTCCGTTCTATAGTATCTTGGCTGCATTTTTCCGAGGAAGCTTGTGAGAGCAGCTAAAGTCAACCCCACTATTGTCAATACATCGAAGGGGGGCGGCACCTGGCTAGAAAAAAAAATCATTGGGGAAACCAAGGGAAACCACCCCCTGGGTCGCCTGTGCACACAGCCCTGCTAATCGCAAGATGATTCTCCCAAATCCCAGGTCGACCCGACAACGACTAGCAGTCCATCGGGTGCGAGTAACATTGGTACAGGCCATCGTGCGCGGACACTTGCAGCGGAAGAGGGTATACGACCAGCTCGTAACTCACCTCAGGTGAACACGTTGCTAAGGAACACCTTGACGCTTTCATCGGCGCCCATCCAAATGCACGGCGTACGGAGCAACCAAATTTGTCGGCTGCCCTTTCGCCGAGCTGTCGGCGCGCTGCTAGCGTGCCCTTTCTCTCGTGCAAAGAGCAGGAATTCTCTCCTGTAGAGTTTCCCATTTTGTCTTTCACACGAAATCCTACGCTAGCCCTATACTAATCCGAACTAGAAAAGTTGGGCAACAGTCCTATAGCCCTGATGCTATTGCCACTGCGACAGTCATATCAGTTCCCAAAGTTCAGGTTTGCTACGGAAGTATAAAGTCCAACCACGAGAATTCAAAGATGACGGCATCCCACTTGCCTTGACCAAACCTTTTGGCGTTTGAATGTTACAATGACTGGATCCATGTAGATTCACACAACAACAATTGGCAGTCACCTGCCTACTTCCTCATGCTCCCCCCTCAATTACCGCACCCTAAATACACACACTGCACCCCCAACCAGTCCTCTGTTCTGCCGGGTTCGGGGAAATCATGTTTCACCACAATGGAGTGAAGTCGTGTTCGTATGTCGTTCATGAAGGGGCGGTTCGATTCGGCGTCCATCCTAAGGGTTTGAGGATTACCCTCCTCTACGCGTGTTAAACCTTTTCCCAGCCTAGCAGCAAGCACGCGTTGAACGCTACATCCTTCGCAATTGCCTTCCATCTACGCACGCAACACCAATTGGGTGTCATCTGTGGGTTGAGCAACTTGGAACCCTCCTGAACGCCGATGGGGGGAGACTTACTGCGATGGCAGTGAGCACGATCTGGTAGATGAAGAGCAGTACCTACAACTTAAAACTTGAGCGACGGCTATTCTGCGTATGTTGACTTCATGCTTTCATCGTTCTGCCTGCCTCTACTGTGAAAAATATTTTAAAATAGGTGTAGACGCGAAGCGGCCACGACGCTTCAGAAATATCGACGACGTCTTACGCTACGGCGGGCTTACGTGTTGCTGCGCTCAGCTTCGGTGAAGGTTGGAGCCAACTACCGGAGATGGCGCACTCAACGTGACTGCTTCCAGCGGAGGCTTGCTGTTGGGATACTACAGGTGCTGGTGTCATTTCCACCGTTAAGTGGTGTTGAGTATCATATCGCATGCAGTCTTACGAGTGATCTGCCTCTCAGTACCCCTCTCGTATATACATGAACGGCATGAACTCTTGACATCACACACGCATGCTCTCGAGCACCTATCTCCAATTACCCCACTTCCGTCTCGATGGCTACCCCGCGACAATCTGCACCGGGGGAAGTCCAGGTCAGTCGCGAACGACAACATGCACATTGAGCATAGGGTCTGAGCGGGGGCACGAGGTGGAGTGCACCAGAGTACACCGAGGTTTTTGATGGTGCATTCCCACTACCACAAATATAGACAGGCAGCATGAGGAAGACCTTCGCCACGTTCTGCACCCCTCTTCTCCCCACTGGATGTCTCCACTCAAAAAACGCACAATTTTCTGACAGAAAGCGTCGAGGCGGTTCGTTTTTAATACACGTCGGAGAAGGGCTGCCAACCTCCTTCAGAGCGCATACCGCTCCAGTGCACGGGTCAAGCACGGCCGCAAGGAAAGGAAGAAGATCCTCGACGCTGCGAACGTCCTTCAGCGCTCGGCCAGGGCCTGGGTGGCGCGCCGGGTGGTAGGGTGGAGACGGGAAGTCCAGCGACGGAATCGGGCAGCGGCGGCCCTACAGCATGCGATGTGGAGACACCTGTGGAGGCGCAAGAAGCACCGCCAACACGTCGCCGCGGCCCTCACACTCTGGAAGTTCATGGGAGGGCTCTCGGTGACGTTATCGCGAATAAGGAAGCGACGGAAGTCAGTGGCCGCTACCAGAATTCAGGCGGTTGCTCGCCAGTATATCTCCCTGGTGAAGACAAGGGAGATATTGGACATGCATCGGAAAGAACGCGCGGCTGCCACAAGGATTCAGGCAGCTTGCCGCGGCCGGCGATATCGCAAACACTTGACCACACTTCAAGTGGAACAGAAGGAATGCCGTGCAGCCACAATGATTCAGGCCGCGTGCCGGGGGCACATATCCAGAGTGAAAACGATCAAGCGTCGCGCATGCGCTCTGAAAATACAGACCTTGCTCCATCCACGGAGAAAAGCCAGATATACTTCCCGGCGTGAACAAGGCGCTTTAGTTCTGCAGCGAGCTTGGAGAAGGAAGATAATCGGCCAAGACGCCAAGACGCAGGACGAGCCCACCACCACCAGCGAACAGCGACGATCCTCATCGGCGACATCACCACGTCCGGAACCGCCGCGCACCTTGGATCGCGCCAACGTTCAGCTGGCGGTTGAATCTCTCGCGAAGGGCATGCGGAGGCGCGGAGTTCTGGATCCGATCATCGCCGAGAATCTTAGCGACACGCTAGCCCTCGGCCAGGACGACCCCGTGCTGGAAGTCGCCCTACGACAAGGACTGTCAAACCTTGAGCAAGCTTTGCTTTGGTCGACCAGGACCATCTCGACCAACACAGGACTCAAACAGATGGCGGCAGAAAGTGTGGCGGTGGTGAGGGGAGGAAAGGATGTAGCTCTGCCACACAGTTTGAAAGAGCTGGAACAGGGCTTGCTGAGGCTGAGACCATCGGATTGAGGATGTTAGAGGTGGGGGTCCCTCCCATATGTAGTCGGTATTCGTCATGAAAGCCAACGAATAGGCCGGATGGCCCTGGGCATCTTGTTCGACACGAGACTTGAGTCTACATCAACGAGATCGTTTATCTTGGGTGACACACAATGTGTCGGAGAGCAATAAGAGCCGTTTTAAACGGACCGACTTTTTGTCAAAAATTTTGAAAGTGTCAAAAAAATGGAACCTGTATGTAAGCGTTTGTCCATTTTTTTCAAAAATATTTGGAACGAAGTTAGGCGCGAAAACTTTGCTCCACTTCGTTCCAACTTTTTGACAACCCTCTCAAAGTATTTGGAGCACTTTCCAAAGTACCCTTGCAGAGGCACGCGAGGGCTGCTGCGTCTGCACCACGAGTGCCCCTCACCGTAGAAAGTCAGCTAGNGAAGTTGGGCGCGAAAACTTTGCTCCACTTCGTTCCAACTTTTTGACAACCCTCTCAAAGTATTTGGAGCACTTTCCAAAGTACCCTTGCAGAGGCACGCGAGGGCTGCTGCGTCTGCACCACGAGTGCCCCTCACCGTAGAAAGTCAGCTAGGGTTGTGTGTGAATCACCTGTCGCTGTCGCTATTGCTATCGTCGCTGTTGCCAACGTTGACGATGCTGTCTGCTGTTGTTGTGTCGTCCGAAAAACGGCGGTCCGCCATGATGGCTTGCAGTTGTTGCTTCGCGTCCGCCGCTTTGTTTTTTCCTTTTCCCGGGGGGGTAGGAGCAGTGGTTGCCACCCCTCGCCGGCGGAGTGTTGGTGGCGGCAGCGCCTCCCGTGGTAACATGAGTGTTCCCCGAGATGCCAGGCAGCAGCACTATCTTGCTGGAGAGCAAGCCTCCACCGCCTACGGCGGCACCGAGAGAGCCCGTCTGCTGGAATTTCGCCGGGGTTTTGGTCTGCCGGCCACGCGGGGTGGTCGTGATATCCATGTCGGTGTCCATGATGTCGTGTTTTCCGCGGTTTGTGTTGTGTCGTGTGTGTTGTCTCGAAGTGAGCGCTACAACTCACGGACGGCGTCATTTTTTTTTACACAAGTTGCACAAGTCCACGTCACACGTTTAAAATGACTGCACACAGGTCCCAAGTTTTTGAAAGACAAATGTCGAAAATTTTGACAAGAAAGTCGGTCCGTTCAAAACGGCCGTAACAATGACTCTACGCACCCGCAACACAGATAAAGTCGGACCTACCTCCTACTTGGCCCCGCAACCTCCATGGTTGCCTGACAGCCTTCCATGCAGGCGGCCGCATCCGTAACACCATGTCCTTGAACTGCTGTGCACATTTCAGAGTCTTGAAGACACTTTCCCCAAGCGAGCATCGCATGCCATGAGTCATTCCGCGATCACGACAACCGACGTCGGGAGGTCACCAATTTCCTCTCTGCCGATTTTTCGTTCTCTCCCTCGCCTCAGCCACGGCGAAAAAAGCAGAAGGGACGGTCGACCCCCGTCTACGCAATCGAGAAAAAAACCTACTGCGGTCGGCAATACAGAGTGCGTTTCGTACCACGGGTGGATACCGCCAAACACAAGTAGCTGTGGTGGGACTTGCTTTTCTTCGTCACCATGTGCCACCTCGCGATTGGGCGACTGCTCGGCATGTCACCATCACTTCCTCCCACGCGCTTCACCCCCACGCTCATACCGTTTTTTTGCGCAAATAACCTCACAAAAAAAAATCTCAATCAGCACGGTGGAATCTTTCTCACCAAGGAAGCCGCGAAAGGATTGCGGAAAGTTGCTCAAGAAAATCATCGCACTTTTTCATCTGCCGAGCCTCCATCTTCACCGCCTTCCACTACACTAGGCCGATCTGCCATGTGCGACACCCCCGAGCGAGAATGGCAAAAGAGTACAACCAGCACATCAAAACTAACGGTGCCACGATGTTTCCGCCTCGCGCCCGCACGAACCAGAGAGACCCAGGGCCATGGGCACCCCGACAGGTCTGTTTTACAACAAACCACGACGGTCACGTTGCACAGTCAGCGCGCCGCCATTCCAACGCCAGGCATTTTGCCGTCGAGCACTGAAGTCCCCCTGGGACGTGGCCACAGCATCACACGTTTCATATTGCCCACATACGGTAAGTACATTTTATATGCCGCAGCAGTCCAGCCATGGCTTAACGGCATTCCGCGCTTGGAGCTGACCGGCCGAAGCAGTCGCCGCCCGCCCGCCGCGCGTACGCACGGCTTCCGCAACCAAGGTAGGACGATCGTGTCATGCGACCGAAGACGGTTGCCGCCCACAGTGGGTGGCACTAGACTTCAAATCTGATAGGGCAGGTAGCGTTGCATAGATACCATAAGGGGAGTGTTCCTAGCATATACGAAGGCTGAACGTAGGGTCTGGCCATGAGCGTTGACAGCTTTTCAGTCTCAATTGGCTTTTCATTCTCATTTGGAGCGGTAGCAGTGTTCGAGTTTCTTCTCCTCTCCGATCGAGTGTATTCGCCTGTTGCATGGTCATGTTCAGATTGTTCCTCTCTTAAAAAGGGGGAATGCAAGTCGCCAGAACTCTGATTCAGTTTGTCCCTCAAAAGTTCCATTGAAGGCGTCTTTGCCGATTTGTCCGGGCTGACTTATTCAGGGCGAAGAAAATCATATTTGTAGCATGAACGCTTGAATATGTAGATTCGTCTGATCACTCACTGCGGCATGCCTTCGTCCCATGTTTTGCCCTTCAAGCGTTCTGCCTGTCGTTTAGCCCTTTCCTCGTCTTTTCTATTCTTTGCAAAACGAGAGAACGGGTCCCCGTGCACCTTTCACGAGGAAAGCATCAACAAACACAGCAATGGGGCACGTGGGGCATCGTGATATAAGCCGAGATAAGGCATATGCGGGTGGTCCAACTACCACATAAAAGTAGATACCAGGTACTTCAACACATTATCCAGTTCAATAAACTTACGATTGACAAATGACGAGGGCGCATCAAAACCAAACGCAACACCCATCCGCGTGTTTGTGGACCCACCCCCATCATCCATGGAATGTTACGATTGTGGTGTCGAATTCCGTTCGGTCCAGGGAAAAGTACATACACATCACATGAGAGGGACTGTACCTGATGTGAACGAACGTGTATTACCTCTGGGATACAGTAGACTATTGTCAATGTCTCTACTTCAAAGTAAATACGACCAAGGGGAGAACATAGGAGTAGGGGCAGGAAGTATGATGCATATCTAGTCTACCGTATATGACACAAGATAACACACCTCCTTGACCGTTTTTCGAAGCTCGATTTCTCAACTGCAGGAACAGTCACAGCGCCGAAAATGGCGGCGTTGAAACCCTGTCGTCGAGAGCTTTTCGAAACTGTATCGTTTCGTTTATGCATCCTCTTCGTCGTGGAGTAATCGAGCTTTGAAAATAGGTCCAGGGGGTGTTGTTTTGTTGTTGTTGTTGTTTCTCACATTAGCTCCATAGTCCACGAAAAATGGGGAGCCCGTGGCCTCAACACCCGGCACATACAACGCCGCGGGGAAACAAAACAAAAATAGGGTACAAACCACTCGGAAAAAGAAAACAAAATGATAGAAAGAAAAGAACAGGTATCGCACCGACTGTTCGAGAAAAGAGCCCTCGGAAACCGATCAAAAAAAAGTCAAAAACAAAAATAAGGAGGACGCTTCCCACACCCGCCCAAAGAAAAAATCCAAGGGTAACATACCAGCACCAGGCACTACGCACCAGGGCATGGGAGTAACAGAGCAGACAAAACAAAGAGGCGGCAGATGGGCAGACAGCCAGACGTACAAAAACAAAGGCAACAGCAAAGCGAGATCACGGTACCCAACACAGCAGAGTAGGCAGGGAGGTCATGAACAAAAGAAACACAGCACAGAGGNTCCCACACCCGCCTAAGGAAAAAATCGAAGGGTAACGTACCAGCACCAGGCACTACGCACCAGGGAATGGGAGTAACGGAGCAAACAGGACAAAGAGGCGGCAGATGGGCAGACAGCCAGATGTACAAAAACAAGAGCAACAGCAAAAGCGAGATCAAGGTACCCAACGCAGCAGAGTATAGGCAGGGAGGACATGACAAGAAGAAACACAGCACAGAGGCCGAAGGCAATAAAAAGGACATACATAAAGGAGGATAGCAAACAGCACGGAGGGAAACAGGGCGCAACAACATCAGCCGGGTACATAGTTCGCCACAAGTGCTGCCTCGGCCGCCCTACTCGCTTCTACAGTAGTGCCCGGTCGCCGTTTCTTCCCCCCCACCGCCGCTTCCCCGACTCTCTTTCTCTTCGGTCCTGAGATGGCCGTACTCTCTGCTTCTGCTTCCCTCGCGCGCTGGCGCTTCGCGGACGCTTCCGCCTCCTGCCTGTGCCATTTCCTCATGAGCCATGCCGCCCCGTCCTCGACCTTGTTGTACCACACCTCCGGGTCCTTGGCGCTCTCTTTCCATTTACCCCCTTCCTTTTCGTCTCCCATGTTGAAGGCCACGAGGTCCTCTCCTAGACGAGACACCCAGTCGCTCTCCTGCCCGCCCCGGTATCCCACGCCCCCCGCCATCGCTCCTAACAGGATGCGCTTGAGGAGGCGGCTGTCCTCCATGCGCATAATAAAGCCCGCGAAACACAGTCTCCGTTTGCGCACGGTGGC